TTCTCCTACTTTCTAACTTTTGACGAGAATTTTTTTTTATTTTCATGAAAAATTTGCTGAAATGAGTGAAAATTAAAAAAAAAACGGTGTATTTCCAGGATAAAATCCGTACAATCCGTACAATTTGAAAACAAATCCGTACAATCCGTACAATTTTAGGGTTAAAAAAAATCAATCCGTACAATCCGTACATTTTGGCCATCCTGTCATTATCATCATTATCATCATTATCATCATTATCATCATTATCATCATTATCAACATTATCATCATTATCATCATTATCATCATTATCATCATAATCATTATTATCATCATTATTTATCATTATTTATCATTATCATCATTATCATCATTATCATCATTATCAACATTATCAACATTATCATCATTATTATTATCATCATTATCATCATCAGCTTATCATCATTATCATCATTCACCTTGGTCTCACCGCCTTCTCAGCACTGTAGCTCATCAACAGTTTTCTACTTCCTGATTATCAAATATACAGTAATAACCAGATAACAATGGAATAGGAAGACGACATTTTAATAATAATCAAGTGTATTGATGCTTTTAAAAAAGCAATAAGTTTAACTAGACAATTATTAAATCACTAATTTAGTGAAATAGGCCTGTTTACACTACACAATTGCTGTGTTTTAGGCTCATTGGACTTTAAAATCTATAACTTGATTCGAAAAGTCGTCTTTCAGATATTTCTGGTTTTAACTTGAAAAAAACTATGTGCAATAATATTGAGTAAAAAAACTGAAGTAATCATTTTTCAATTTAAGTTATTCTCGAAGCTTAAGTTAAAATATGAAAACCTCAAAAAATGTAACAAAATTGGAACCTTGAGAATTCAGACAAATACATTAAGAACAGATGTGATTTCTGCGTCTCCCTTTCTTAAAAAATTAATTGTCCCCTCCCCCTTCATTTTCACGCAGATACAAAAAATATCTTAAGCATCTATTCACTCGCCCCAAACTCCAATTTTCTAGTTCCTATAACTTTGCATTGCAAAAGAGTTCTTTAATATATGCAAATTACAACTATTAGATCCAGCCAAATTAACAGTTAATTCTTCTACGACATTAGACATACTCGTCAAAAGATTTAAGACGATCTCCTGATGATGCCAAAGTTTTTGGCGAAATATATTGAGAAGAAAAAGATATAATTCTAGTGCTGGAGAGTAGAGTTGGGATTTGTTTAAAAACGATCTAAAGAAAACATTAGAAATAGGGATCAGAAAATAAGAAAATACATTGCAAAGTTAAGTTTTTCTAGATTTTTAAAAATTAAATTTGTTTACCTACGGGCAAATGATCTGTGACAGGGTTCTTGATAACCTTTAACAATTTAACCGTAGATTCAGCAGCTGTTATACTGTACTTGTGCAACAACTGTACCATCAAACCTTAATAACAGAAGCTGTGCAGTAGTGTACATAGAAAGTACATGGGTTGGAAAACTTGAAAAATATGTCAGAAAAGTTCTGGAATTCAAGGAACGAACCGATGTTTATACATCAGCTCAAATTCTCAGATTCGCCTTCGTAATATCATCATAATAAAATGTTTATATTAAACAATAGGCCCTCCTCCCCCCCATGTCATTGTCCATAGCCATTAACATATTATTAAGCTTAAAGGGAGAGACCGGCTTGACATAGTAGTTGAGCTGATAATGCATTATATTTAAAGAAAAATTAACTTTAGGATTCATTTGATACCAATGAGACATTTTTACGGTGTACAATTTTTAAATAATAGCACAAAGTCGTTTGTAATATTTCACCAGTTGTTACAGCTGTTAAGTTTTTTAATTCATAAATAACCCGGACAAAACATGTTGCATGCATATTAACAATAAGTTATTAATAGTCATTTTGAAATTTCGCAGGTTTTTGCAAATTCTTTAAGCTGGGGTCACTTGTTGAAGGTGTTCTTTATTTCTTATTGTAAAGACGACATTTTGAAGAAATTGACGAATAATATTATAGAGCTAAACTCATAGCAAGAAAGAGCTATTTATTAATGAACACGAGTACCCTGCCTAAAAAAATTTGATTTCTTAAAATTCCACGGGCAACGCCGGGCACTTCAGCTAGTCTCCAATATACCTGCAAATCTCTTGAATGTTCTGGGAATCCTCGTGGAAGGATTTATCTCAATAAGAACGTTGTTGGCAGTTCTTATATACACTTGTAGTAAACCAGCTCTAGAATAACAATGAGAATGAAAATAAAAACAAGAACAAGATTGACAAGAATCATAACCACAAGAATTATAATTAAAGAATAAGAATAACAACATTTGATCAGTTCTTTAAAAAATTCAAATAACAACTTGCTCTTTTAGAAAAACAAATACAAAAATGTGAATAAAAACAACAATAACACTCTAAATAAATAAACGAGTATAGCAGTTGTTGGCAGTTTTTCAGCTTAACCAAATTAACTTTTGCTTCCTTCAAATTTCGATAATTCTACAAAAGATAATAATAATAATATTGGTTAACTAACCTGTTTAAAGGACTATCAAAGAGCATAAGTAAACACTGATGTGTGATGTCGGGACGAGCAGTTGAGAAATCACGGCCTTTATTTACATCAATTAACTTTTAAACTATGTTAAAAGATGCAAAAATGTTTATTTACTTAAAAATTGTCGCTGCAGTTTTTTAAAGGTCATTAATTTCGATAATTTGACACTATTGAAGTTGTTAAAAAATGAATAGAAAGTAAATTATTAAATCAATAACTTTCCGGTTAATAATTAGCCCCGGAACTCCAATCAAATAGCAAATTGTAGACATGGTCTCGGAATCCAGTAATCCTTTCCAGTTTCTTGTTTTTCAGTCTGTCCTTCTGTATTAAAGTAAATTTCAACATTTAATTTTAGAGCCATGCCCCACTTCGGAATATATATCATTTACAGTTAACCAAACAATTGTGAATACTATATAATGACGTTGAGAAGTTAACAAATGAACCGCGGGAGATTTAAAAATGAAATCATTTTGACTCAGAATATCAATTTCGCACGCATAAAGGGAAGTTTCAGAGTATATTTTAGTTTTTTTATGATGATATTCCTGCTCTGTTCAAGATTCCACGATGTTCATCGATGTTAAGAAGACTGAACTCCTTCCCAGCCTATTTGATAATGTTTTGAAATGTTAGAACTTGTAAGAAGTTATTTGAAAATGATTTGAAATGTTAGAACTTGTAAGAAATTATTTGATAATGTTTTGAAATGTTAGAATTTGTAAGAAATTATTTGATGATGTTTTGAAATGTTAGAATTTGTAAGAAATTATCTGATAATGTTTTGAAATGTTAGAATTTGTAAGAAATTATTTGATAATGTTTTGAAATGTTAGAATTTGTAAGAAATTATTTGATAATGTTTTGAAATGTTAGAATTTGTAAGAAATTATTTGATAATGTTTTGAAATGTTAGAATTTGTAAGAAATTATCTGATAATGTTTTGAAATGTTAGAATTTGTGTTATTTGATGATGTTTTGAAATGTTAGAATTTGTAAGAAATTATTTGATGATGTTTTGAAATGTTAGAATTTGTAAGAAGTTATTTGATGATGTTTTGAAATGTTAGAATTTGTAAGAAATTATCTGATAATGTTTTGAAATGTTAGAATTTGTAAGAAATTATTTGATGATGTTTTGAAATGTTAGAATTTGTAAGAAGTTTTCATCAACTAGATCTAGGGGACTTCATCCATCTATTATTATTCATTAAAGCTGGCACAAAATTCGGAAATACAGTTATCCACAAAGATTGAGACTTCATTGACGACTGTTCGTAATTTGTTTAGTTCATTTTCTTACATTGATGGCTTCCTATAGCTTTTAAAATGTTTGCTTTCTTAGCAAATAATTTCGTAGACAATAATGATAATCATACAAAAGACTCAATTTACAGATAAAAACCAAGTAACACCTTTAGAAGGTTCGAAAAAAAACGAGTTTCAGATCGTCATTTATGTCTCATCTGTTTTTTTTGGATAATCCTGTACAATACAATACAGCTTGCTAAATAAGAAAAATGTTAACATTTCTTGAGAACAGTGATCTTTTTCATGAGTATGGATATTATCAGTATCATTATTGAATTTATGCTAACCTTACAGGTTTCCAGATGTGCTCCTTCAAGAATAATAATCAATCTCTTCTCTGATTTCTTGGCGATCTTTGAAGTTTGTCTGTTCTTGGGCAGATCGTCTTCACCGTCTTCTTGGGTCTTCCTCTTCTTGCCCATCACATTGATTCAAGATTCTGAAGAAAAACTGAGATCAGATTATAATCTTGTCAGGCGGGTTGAGACGGATAGATACCTAAAGGGACTGTAAGTGTAGTTTCAAGTGACACTCCATGCAAAGATGGCAATGCCCAATTCACCACGGTAACCTTGAAACCTCATTCTGATCAAACCTTATTATAACTCGATTTCTGCGAGTTTCTCTGTTGTTTCTTATAAACAAGAAATGCGCAAGTCACTTTTGTAGAGAAACTGCAAATAAACAATTTAAAGAAACAATAACATTAATATTTAATTCATACTTAATTAGGAAAAGCTTTCAAAGGTACCGTTGTAAATCGGAAATTATCATCATTGCACGGAGGGCCAATTGAAATAACGCTTACAGTCCCTTTAACACATTTTTAATATTATCACATTGTTATTATCAAGGAGTACTAGAAACGGAGGAGATGGATTTGTTTTTCTTCTTTCAACTGCTACAATTATTATTATTGTTTGCCAATAAAACTAGTTCATGAGCTGTTTTAAGACACATCTTCTAAAGATGAAAGTGATGAAACTCTGGAGCTAGTCAAAGATGAATTGAAGAAGGCAAAAAAGATGAAGTCTGTGTGAACCAGTGGAAAATGTTTTCGAGGGAAGAACCGTCTTGTACTTTGTCTTGATCCCCAGGAAAATGAAGCTGAGGATTCATTATGGGAATTTGAACCAGAAGACCCCTCCAAATTTAGATTTGGATCTGGTAACCTGAAGGAGATTGAATGTTATCCTGTTAGGAAAATCTGCTGCTTGGAACATCCTGCCTTCTTTGTCTTTGATTCCACGAGATCCTTACTTTTTATCTCCGAACCTAAAAGGAATAGGATTGGTATCTTTGATCCTGGTTATCCTGTCCTGACTACACGCTATGGAATCCTAGAAATATAGTTGTTACAGGGAACTACTTGGCGATTCTACAAAGTAACGGCATCAATATATTCCTGATCGATGAGAATCCATATTTGCGAGCTGTTTCCTTTCAATTCATTCCAGGATGTTTCAGTGGATTGTGCTGGGTTGAGGCGACACATGAGTTAGCTTCCGTTAAAAGTGGAAAGGATCAGGGTGAACAAACTATCAGGAGATACAGGAAAGATCTGGCGGATTCTATGTTCATTTATGTTGGTTCTATTGAGATACAAGTGCTTGAAAACAAGAGAGGAACAGGATTCAGTCCCGAGGAACTGGTTTACTTTGATCAGACATTCTTTGTGGTGGACTCTATAGCAGCCAGGATATATTCAATAGATCTTCAAGATAAAACGAAACAGCAATCCTGGATACTATGGTGAAGGAGTGGGGAGGTTAACATCACCTACAGGAATTCTGGTAGATAATATGGGGTTCCTTCTGGTATCTGATTCTACCCTTGGAAAACTCATGCTCTTTCGTCCGTCAGGAGCCTTCATTAAAGAAATGGACTTACCGGACCATGGTTGGAATAGGAATCCACGTGGAATGATCAGGTTGGAGAAGTGTATCCTTGTGGCTTTTGAAGGAAGTGTTGGTCCAGGAGGGTTTATTAGATACGAGGTTGGTAGTCAGAAATATTAAAAGTAAGAAGTCTGCAATCTTGTATCCTGAATTTCATTACAGTGCTCTATTCTATTCTTATGTACTAATGTAGTACTTTCTATGTTTTGTAGTACTTTTTTATAGTACTTTTGACAGTACAGGTCAAATTGTAGACATTGTGTACCTAGATTTTGCAAAAGCCCATAAAAACGCCTTGTAACAAAATTCAGAGCTCATAGTATTGATGGAAATCTTCTGAACTGGATTGAATCTTGGTTAAGTGACAGAAGACAGAGAAAGCTTAATTAAAAAAATATGCCTCCTATCTCTCTCTCCATATCTTATTATTTATCATGTGCTGTGTACTAACTCCATGGATTTTAACAGCATATGATTAAATTATACAGAAATATAGTTTCTAATATAGATAATACTAGAATTGATCTGGTTGATGATTAAATGTATTGATGAGGTTGATGATACTAGAGTTGATCTGGTTGATGATTAAATGTATTGATGAGGTTGATGATCCTCGAAATGATCTATCCTGAGCAGACCAACATATCTCTGGATACTCTATCAACAACACTCAGATACTTTTCCACTCCAGCATCCAATCTGAAAAAGGTTAGTTAGGTTACACATTAGGCTTTTAGGTCGATTTTTGCTCTTTTTCCTTGTAATAATTGTAACTCTTAGGTTTTACTTTTAAAGCAGCTTTTCTCGTCATACAATGTAAACGTAACAATTTTTGCGTTCGCAGATTTTTCTGTTCTTAATAGCGGATTTTCAAAAATCTAAAATTATTTTAGACAACATTTTGTAATTATTACCGGCCATACATCTTTCTTCTTGGTGTTATATCAGATACAATAAACAAATCTAGGTTGACGTTTATTGGATAATAAGAGGACAGGCACCCGGACAAGCAAAATATTTATTCGATAAAAAATCTGAAAAATTGAGGAAAGCCAACAAAAAATTTAAGTTCGTGAAAGTCTGAATTGAGATTATTTAATTGCATGGATAATTTCAATATTTCTAATAAGTTCTATTCAGTCAAATTTTCTTTAATTTCAACCAATGTTGATAATGTTACCTTTTTAAACATTTAGCAAAGGCGGGAATATTTGAATTTTCAGATAACTCTATGAGAAGACGATCCAGTACAGTCCAGGGAACCCACGCAGGTCTAAATATAACAAGTTGTTACAAAACACTAGAAAGCTGTTAGATAACACTAGCAAGTTATTACATGTCAATAACAAGTTGATACATGTCAATAACAAGTTGATACATGTCAATAACAAGTTGATACAAGTTTACTCGACCCATTGTGAAAGTTTTTACGACAAAGGGAATACATTTAACATTTCTTTGTTGAACAACTGAGACACACAGCAACATTTATTCCCATGTTATTATTTATTTTTAGGTGTTCATTTGATGAATTTGGTAAAATAAGGAGAAAATAAAGGAAGTTTTGGGTAAAAGTCTCATAAGGGTGAACTAAATCTTGAAAACATATCTTGTATACCCATTGAAACACACTAATACGTGGAAACAGGGTACTAACCTCTTATTAGCTTGTAAACTATGCTCGAGACCGAAGTACTCCCCACCCTGTCCGAGGACGGCCTCCAGGTACTCCAAGGCGAGGTCGGTAGCAGGCTCGAGGTTCCCCTGCCCATGGTACAACCTGATGAGCTCGGCGCAGTCCCTTTTCTTGTACCCAAACACTAACCAGGGAGGAAGAGCACAGCCAAGGGAGAAGAGACGTTCTACGGTTACACGGTGAAGCACCGTCTGCGTAGCCTTCTCTTTACTTGTTACCAGGTGCTCTAGAAGGTTCCAGGTTGCTGTTACAGCACAATCTCCCTGTATATCTACACCACCTAGAAAACAGGATGGAATAAATAAAGACCAAAATTTTTACCTTCTTATAGAATTAAATTAATACAAGAAAGTAATTTTGAATGTGAAAAGTAGTTGGAACTAGGTATTACTGGTAACGATTCAACTACGCAGGTCAATAATCTAAACTAAGAGTCCCTGGGCTTGTTTAAAATGTAAAGAATTCAGCAACTGGTCTAAATCTTTTTATTTTCAACCCATTTCATTTAATCTGCATTCGATCATAAATAAAGTTCAGGTTTTTGATATTCAAGTTCCTACCTGGTCTATTTTCAGCAAGCCAGGACCATGCAGCAGATTTCTCCTGAGGTCTTGCGTTAGCTATTCGGACTGCTCGGCTGGCGAGGGCCTCTATAACCCCTGTGAGAGGAAGGGAGAACTCCTCGCAGATCTGGATAGCGGAGATGTAGAGATTGGAGGTGGTCAGGAAACCAACTGTCTCAGCTGGGGTCAAACCAGGACTAGCAGGGAGGTTACCCTGAATAAAATAATCGATATTTTCCTAAAAATCGCTGAAAAACAAAACAAAAAAGAAGTAAAAAATATAATCTGTGTCCATTTAACTTTATCTGTTTTTTCCAAGGAGGAACATCATGGTACCTTCATTGTTTATCATCAAGAATGAATAAGATATCAATGTTTTAAATTTTATTATTTTCATTTCTTGTTTCGCTATAAAAGTGACAATCTTATTATTTCCGCTACCGAAACAACAGAGGAATTTGACACTTTTAACGCTGGAAAAACGACTATATCTTCCTCATTTTTGACCAGATAAAGTTTTGAAGGGTATCGTATCTCAATGACAGTCACTTAAATGAAGCACGTACATTGTACATTACATTGTACATTACTTTGTACATTAGTTTGTACATTACTTTGTACATTACTTTGTGCATTACATTGTACATTACATTGTACATTAGTTTGTACATTACATTGTACATTACTTTGTACATTAGTTTGTACATTACTTTGTGCATTACATTGTACATTACATTGTTTTTTTATTTTTTGACATTTGCTTTTTTTGTAAAGGTTGATTACAAAATAGATTAAAGTGAAACTATTTCAACACTTTTTGCAGCAGCAAAATAGAAGCAAGAGTTGTAAAAGAAAAAAGAAAAATTCAAATGATGCGTCTTGAACCACTGAATACAATCCATTTGTCCGTTTTTCGATTCGGGCTAAAAAATAGTTTTTTCGATATCCAGTGTTTCAAGACGGATATTTTGATACATATCTTAATTAGTTTTGACGAATTTCTATTTCTGGCCTAATTAGTGATTTGATTTACACAAAAACACTCTGAATTTATTTGAAAAATTTTAAATAAAATTTCTCGAATCTTTTTAAAAGATGTATCCTAGAAAACTTCAGACCTGATGCAAAGTTGATTAGAGCATTTTTATCAAAAAAGTGCCAAATATTTTCACCCTTAGATACCTGAGTTGTTCCTGCTATGACGGTCAGCTTAAGCCGAGCCTGACTCAGAACTAGTTCTCTCTTTATGCTCTCCAACTCCACCACCTCCATCCCTAGGTTCTCCACCTCCTCCATCTTCTCCTCCCCGCCCAAGAACCTCTTGGGGCTTGAGGAGGGGGTGGAGCAGGGTTTTATCAACCATTGATATTTCTTATTCACCAGGTACAAACAGTTTATACAGGACAGATAGGCATGAACCTACGCAAAAACAGAATAAATTGAACTTCTAATATTAAAAAATATACATGAGTAAATGCCTTACACTCTATGTTAATTTTGGTTATATTTCTGTTAAAATGTTAAAATGTTCAGGGGATTTTAAGTAGAACTGATTTATATACAATATACAAAGACCAACTTCATTAGTGACTATTTATAGTTTAAAAATGTCTCTCTAATTCAATTTTTTCTGTTTGTGTCTTTTCAGTTATGTTAAAGTATTTCTCAAGTAAGGCTAGAATGGCAGTGCTGAGAATCTGTCTAGCACCAATATTCAACTAAAGAATCACTCAAAGTCGGTAAATGGATTAAAACTCTGTAGTCTGTGTAATAGTTAAAAAATAGCCCCAGCCTAGGATATCGACACAGGTATCCCAACATAACTGACAACCTTAAGCTTATTCGGTGTATGTCGTGGAATTACATAATAAAAAAGATGCAACCAGTTGAACGGTTTCTGTGTAACGTCATATATGTTATTTCGCCGCTATTCTGGCGCTGACGGTCTGAATGATATTATTTTCTATTATTGTGCTAACTCCTACTACAAATATCCCGCTTACCTGTTTCTTCAACCCATCGAAGTTACATAGCTCGACCCCTAGCCTCGTCCCACACTCGTACATGACCTGAGCAGCCTTCCGGAAGTTTTCCTTGGACACGTGAAAACTGTACAGGAAGTCGTAGTAGTTATTAACAGATAGATCAGCAGACCGAGCTCGACTCTCAATGATCGACTCGACATCGTCGATCATGTCGGTGTAGGGGTAGGACGCCAGCTGCGACAACTCTCCTCGGTCAAACAAGGTGACAAGGAACTGTCGCAGAGAATCTTTTCGTCGACTTAGATCTGGATTTGACATCATGGCGGCGTAAGCATCTTCATTATGCCCGAGTTTTAGATGATAGGAGAACAATATGTAGGCGAGGGTAGCTCGCTCCTGAAAAGAAAACTCAATGTTATTTTAAAATATCAAGAAACTTAGAAAGCCAGAAAAGAGGTGAAATTATTTAAAAAAAATGACATGACAATTTCCAATATTTTGAAAACAAAAAGTTGTCGCAAATCAAACCAGTACCTTGTGATCCTGTGGTGTTACAGCTCTAGCGGTTTCTGTCAGAGATATCACTAGATCAGGACAAGGAAACTGTTCTAACAGGGATACAACCTAAAAATAATATTATTTGAGAAAAATAATTTGCTTTTGTATATGATTGAAAATAAACAGAGAGGTCACCTATTATTACGTTAACAAATAAGATCATATAATTTAAAATTGTGTTGTTGATGATGGAACAAACCTCATAGAGTTATTTAAGTAGATGTTAGTTCCACATTTTGTTTCAAATATATTTCGGTCTGGGTTGACCCCCATCAATTCTGGAGATCGTTTGTTATGAAGATTAAAACAGGTTCAGATCGTATCCCAATCCAACCGATGCGAAAAAGGATTGTTTTAAATTCCATACAATATGTTTTTTTTCGCTAACTACTTAGAGGTTACCTTGAGAAAGTATTCAACAGTAAGATCAGCTGGAGTAGACCCCTGAAGTTCAAGAAGATCCTGAGTAAGGAACTGATCCTGTGGAATACCTCCAGCACCGGAGATGAACAGATCCAAAGCCTTCTCCTCCTCTCCCATATTGAGGTGAGCCACTCCCAGCAGGAACTTCCGGGCATACGGGTGCCATTCACACCAGGTCGATAACATCCTAGAGCAATTATATTTATAATGATAACATTAAAGGGACTGTAAGCGTAATTTCACGTGACCCTCTCTTCAAAGATAGCAATGCCCGATTCACAAGGGCTTTGTCTAATAAAGAATGAATCGGCAATCGATGTTAATAACTGGGGGTTCTCTACAAAAGTGACTTGTGCATTACTATAACTGCAGAATAACATATACGAACTATTAGAATTAAACACTTCTAAATCTAGAAAAATGACAATATTTTTCACACAATTGATCAGATAAAGATACAGTTTTGTGAATTGTGCATTGCTATGTTTGCATGGAGGGTAACTTGAAATTACGAACGATGTAACTGCAGTGGGACCCAAAGAACTGACAGATTGGAACAAAGCTCATGACCAAGATTAAACTTTAAAATAAACGTATTTCTATTGCAAATCAAATCAAATCAAATCATATATTTCTCTGCAGTAATAATTATAACAGATATTAACAAGACAAAAGTTCAATAAAAATATGTATTTGAAGAATTATTTAATTATAACACCCCCCCCCCAGGTCTAACCTGCAGTAGTTTTGAACGATAGCGTGCTGTGAGGATCGAAGAAGGAAGTTAAGAAACGTTGGAGTAGCGCAGCGTGGCCATAACAGCTGTGCGGTCATGTTAATCATGGGGGAGAGCGCCAGTGCCCAACAATCCTCACCGCGGCATTCTCCCACCACGCCGCGCACAAGACGACCGGGTCCGTTTAAGAACAGTTCTAGTAGGCTAGTGTTCTTGTCCTAATAGCATTTACAGTTTAGATTCTGATCATTATTGAATAATTTAATGTTGAATAATTTAATACCATATATTATAGGTGAATGCAGTAGTTAGAATCCATTAAAATTTGATGCGGTCCCCAAAATTGGAACCGGATCATATACAAAGATAGAAACTCAGTTAACTCATCTAACGAAACCTCGATGCCAAGAGGAAGTGGGGATCATTCAGTACAAAACACATACTGACGAGTCTACAGGGTTTTGATTTTAAACTTCGATTTTGGCATTTATTAAGATCATATATGTATTAGGCATTTTACAGGGGTACACACCAATACTAAATGATCTGAGATCGATAATCGGACATTCCCCCCCCCCTAAAACGGAAACAAATAATAAGAAAGTAAACAAAGGAAGCACTGGAAAAATAACTTGTTTTTAAGAATACGTACACAAACAACTCCAATTTTGTTTTGCCCAGCTTGCCTGGTGTACTCAGTACACTGAACAATTATCAATATCTACTCTGTGATCCAGATCCAGGCCAATAAACATTTCTTAATGATTTGTCGAGTTTTTGAACACATGAAGAAGTTGCAAATTTTTTTCTTCGCTTTATGCTAAAATTTGATAAATCATGAAGAGATTAGAACATTTCTAATTAACTCAATTTTTAAATAATTTAGATTTGTGTTCTGAGACCGTTGCATTGTTTGAACTTTTTATATTTTTGGGTCCGATCTGCGTATGTTGGCGGATCCGGATCCAGAAAGCCAAAATGTTGCGGATCCTAAGCACTAGACGAATGGATGAAGTTCAGGGGTACTTATAAGTTATATTCTTTAAAGTATTAAAAAGGAACTTACCTTTCTGTTTGTATATGTGATATGGGTAGATTTATCAGATAGTCTAAGAACAGCAAGCTGGCGTAGTCCAAGCTCTTGGATAGAACTAGGAGGTGTACAGGCAGGTACCTAAATAACAATATATATACTATATATCTATCAAACCTTGCAGTACTGTCATCATACCACATTTTTAGAAAACGAAAAACACTAGACTGGGACCATGAAACTACATTTCTGAAAACCACCTCTGAATAGCTAAACTATACTCATGCTAAAAGTCTTGTATTGCACCCGTTCTTTTTTTTGGCAAACCTCGTCAATTATAAAATGTGATATCCAGAGAAAAAAGTATTAGTTTGTAAACTTTTATAATATTAATGTAATTTTGCTTTAGACAAATATAATTGATGGATATATATATATATATATATATATATATATATATATATATATATAAGTACATAAATAAATGCAGGAACCTAAACACAGAAATAACTAAAAATCTAAAGACAGGAACAAAGAAACAGAACTAAATAGGTTATTAACAAACAGAAAACTTTTACTAATCAAATATATCCGGGTTCCTCCAGGAGAATGTTTGGATCAGTATGATTGACCTAACTTAATAAGTACGTCAATTTTGGAACTAATTTGGAAAAAATCTTTCAATTTTACAAAAAAGAACAATGACTAAAAGGTCATGCTAATTTAATAAATTTTCTCATATAAAAACTGATTCCGAACTTTAAACCTGGGAGAAACAGAGAAGCATTTCAAAAGCAGGATATGGTTTCACGATAAAAGAGGAAAATAAAGGACTTCTGTCATAATTACAACATTATAGGAGGGAAACCAACCAATATGTACTCATCAGTACTAAATAGAATAAACAATAAACATATTTAACTGTTAAATTAATAAGTAAAATAAATTAGTTACTGAAAATACGAAAATTAACCGTAATAGACAAAAAAAATATTTTTTTTTAAAAAAAGATGAATAAGAAGACTACTGACTACTGATACTTTGAATTTAAGTAATCAATCTACCTGACAAAGCCAAGATAGAACATTGTAACAGTGAACCATGACTGTAGTTCTTGGAAGGAAGGTTGAGAGTATAGAATCTAGTACTCCAGGCGGTACTCGGGCAGTAGCACTACAATCCAGGAGTATATGCTGAAGAACCAGGAGCTGCTGAGCTAAACCCAACCTTCAAATATTTTGGACTTCAGTGTTCTGTCTTAAAATCATTCAATCAATTATTCAAGTATGAAACTATGAAGCTTGAAGCTATTTGGACAGTACAAGTAATAAGTCTCACCTTGACTCAGCCTGCTGACGGAGAGATTCTGCGACTAGAGAGGTTCCAAGCTCACTTGAGAATAGTTTAGGAGATGGTTCATCTGTCTCTATCCTGGATAGATCCAGCTCACCCCTGCTTACACTACCAGAGTCAAGCTCAAGGCAGTACAGGATAACTTCCATAGCTCTGTAATATAAATACACGCATTAGGACACAACTTCGCTGTGGACGCACTTCACAGTGCGCCTAAATAAAATCAAGACTTTGGAAATGCCTCAAAAAAATGGTTGGGAGTTAATTACCCAACCTTTACATATTTCTAATCTAACCAGAAAAATTTCTGATCTGTCCTAACATAATTCCTCCAATAAGTCTCTCCATTCCGTCCTGATAAATCTATCTAATTTGTCCTTGCATATCTTTCTAATTTGTCCTTGCATATCTTTCTAATCCATCCATACCATGATACTTTCTAATTCGTCCTACCATGATTATTTCTAATTCATCTCGCAACGAATCTTTCTAACATACATTACATGAAAGGAACTGAGTTTTTGCCACAAACTCAAATAGTGATTATTTGATCTAAAAAAATCATAGTTTAAAATATCAAAGGTCTACAGCATCGGGTTGCAAAGATATAGGGATTAGAAAATAAGAGTTCGTGGCAAAAACTCGATTCGTTTGTTCTACAATATCCTTCCCGACACCCCCCCCCCTTGCCCCTCCCCAATGACCCCCTCACTAGCGCTATGTACTCCTATAGTTTACTCTTTACCAGGTTTTAAGATATTTAGTTCAGTAGTAACATGATATAAACTTTGATTATGAATATCTTTGGACATAAACAAGATACATGAAAGTAATGTATTTTTAGGCGTAAATTTTCTTTTATTTCAATTTGTACTGCTAACAAAATGTTCTATCTGGCATTGAAAATGGTTTAAATAGAAACAAACTAACACAATTGGAATTTATACAAGTAGATTCATAAACCATTAGTTTTCTCAAAAAGATTTCGATGAAAAAAGTTAGGATAATCATTTTTCTCAATGAAACCTTTTTTCTGAGGCATAATAAGTCTTGATTTTGTTCAGACGCACTGTGACTTGATTATATTTAACAGACATATCAGAATTTGAGATGTAGAGTTCATTTAAACATGGATATCTATTATTTATACCTGAATATATCCTAAACCTGTTGAACCATGGATATCTAAACCTGGTTATACCTGACCATGGTGAACCTTGGATATCTATATTTGGATAAATCCTGCACCTGGTGAACCCTGGATATACCTGACCGTGGTAAGCTCTGGATATCTAGTGGATATAGCTGAACGTGGCGAACACTGGATATATATACCTGGATAATATCCAGAACCTGCTGAACCCTGGATATCTATACCTGGATATATCCTGAACCTGGTAAAACCTAGATATCTATACCTGGATATATCCTGACCATTATGAAACCTGGATATCTATACCTGGATATACATGACAATGGAGAACCCTGGATATATATACCTGGATATAAATTGACCGTGCTGAACCCTGAATATCTAAACCTGGATATATCCTGACCGTGATGAACCCTAGATATATCCTGACCGTGATGAACCCTGGATATACCTAACTACGGTGAACCCTGGATATCTAAAACTTGATATATCCTGAACCCTGGATGTCTACAACTGGATATATCCTGAACCTGCTGAACTCTGGTTATCTATACCTGGATATATCCTGAACCTGCTGAACCCTAGAGAGCATCTTCTCTAGAGCATATGGCTGTTCCTGATCAGCAAGAAGATCTGCAGCTAGGGATCTACTGACTAGATCAGGAGACTGCTGATGATACACAGCAGTTTTAAATCCTTTAAAAGCTGAAGCAGGAAGAAGACGACAAACCATACCTAAATATTTCATTTAAGCATCTGTTGTTTTGTTGATTTGATTGTGTTTGTGACTCTAGGTTAATAAAAGTTTCGCGGATTTCTCAAGTTTATTTTATTTTAAACAAGTTTAGTCGTGAAAGTTACGGTTAGACACTTGTATTAGTGTTGGTGCTAAAATTGACTCCCCCCCCCCCCTAAAAGGCAAAAACCGAATAAAAAACATTTTGCATTTTTTTTTTACAAAAATTGGCAGTTAACCATAGACGTGTTTGAAAAAAAGAGATAAAACTAATCCACACATTTTGACCAAACTAAACCAATGACAGACTCACCAGCAGCTATAAGAAGGTTGAGTACATCTCCAGCTAGCCCAGGTTCATCAGATAGAGGAGGGATCTCTGAGAATATTTCAATACTAACCCCTGCTCCACCGGACACCACAACCTTAAACATAAACAATTCCATCATTATTTCTTCATTTGCTCAAATAAACCCGGTTTTAGGACTGTATATTTCGTGTTTTAAACAATCTATCATTTCATCCCTCTTGAGTCTTCAAAATCCATTTTTTTTTCAACGGACAGGAGTTTAGTCTTTGACACAAACTTTGATTTGATTTGATTTGATATCTCTGCAACCAGATGGTTTAAAATTTCAAACTTAAAATTTTGGACCAGGACAGAATTCATAGTTTAAAATATCCAAGATCCACGACATGGGTTGGAAAGATAAAGGAACTAGAAAATCATAGTTTGTGTGGAGAAGACCCAAATCCTTTGTTAGGAAAAACCAACAACTTTAATATCTAAATTCTATACGTTAACTATTTTTCTCTCGTGAATATGAATAAAAATCTCTGATCATAACGGTAAACTTAAGTGCATTTTGAAACGTTATCCTTAAATTAAATTTACAGTACTAGGCTTTAATGCGCTTCGCGCCCTTCACTAATAACAATTTTTGCTTCAAACTCTGAATGTTGGCATTTCTAATCGTTCACAAAGTTTCGCGAATTTCTTTGTTTTCATTGGTGCATTTTCAAAAATAATAAATTTTAGCATTTTTTATGGCTAAATTTTTCATCCTCGACCAGCCATAACATTCCCTGGGGTCATGTCAGTTGTCTCAAGAAGAAAAGAAGAAGATAATAAATCCATATTATTAGATTTCCAAACCAACCTGTTCTAATGCTTCTACCGGTCTGCACCAGGATACAATATCCTTTCTAACAATTAGTATCGTGGATTCTCCAGGTGATGTTACTAAACCCATAGGTTGGTTTCCTACAGCTCTATATTGTGCTGCACTTGAGTAGAACCTGCTCCAGCTACTACGAGATACTGACAGATAATCCTCGTCTGAAACCTAACAAAACAGGTATTAGGTACAGTTTTCCAAGATGTCGAATAAGGTTACAAATGTATATTCATCGTGCTGCAGCTTTTATGTTCTTTTACAGACTTACTTTTCAAACTAGATGTTATATTTTAGGCACAAAGCTTTTTTAAGTGTTTGCTTAGATCTGTGATATTACAGGACGAACTTCTGATGATGCCAAAGTTTATGGCGAAATAAATTGAGAAGAAAATGACGTGATTCTAGTTAGAGAGAGAGTAGGGTTGGCATTTGTTTGGAACGCACTGAAGTTCAAGTGTTTGCGATTTCATGGTTTACAAAAAGTCCATAAGAATGCAAAAACTGGTTTTGTAAATAACAAATTTAGAAAAAGTAAATTACAAGTTTAATACAAAAAGAAAATAACAAGTTTAATACAAAAAGAAAATAACAAGTTTAAGACAAAAAGAAAATAAAAAATAGACAAAAAGAAAATAAAAATTTAAGACAAAAAGAAAATAACAAGTTTAAGACAAAAAGTAAATAACAAGTTTAATACAAAAAGTAAATAAAAAGTTGAATAAATTTTTTTTTAAAACCTGTAGAGATGACCTATCTAATATCTATTTATAGAGTAGCACAATCACATTGGATTCATACTGATCCAAGAATGAATGAGATATCCATATTTTTGAAAATTCATTATTTTGCATTGAAATGTCTCTTAGCGGACGTCTGCTACAGAACAATAAGGAGCATATTTCGAGTACTGAATCACAGGTCAAGCTCGAAAAATGACGATATCTTCCACATTCTTGTTCAAATAAAGGGTTTAAATATACCGTTGTAAATCGGGCATGCTACATTTTATTGGAAGGTCACTTGAAATTACAACGAAAGAGAAGCATTTACAATAAACGTCGCAATTTGTAAAAATATAAAATTTTCTACCTCATAGTCTGTTAGAGAGTTCTGTATATCAGCTTCTACAGCCGATACAACCTAAATAAGCAAATTAAACAGCAGTCAGGCAGTCTACAGTGGTTTCCAAAATATAGTAATGAAATTAATATGAAGACTTTAATTCTAAAATAATGTTTTTAACAAGATTATGTATTTTTTCGTCTTCAGCCGTTTGATATTTTTCCAACCTGACTGAGATGAATTGATTTTAATAAATAAAAATCTGTAGAATTTTCTTTTTATCTCCGGCAATGTTAAGTTTTCAATACTAAATATTTCACATTTTTTGGGATGGAAGCAAATCAAAATCAAAATCAAAATCAAAATCAAAATCAAAATCAAAATCAAAATCAAAATCAAAATCAAAATCAAAATCAAAATCAAAATCAAAATCAAAATCAAAATCAAAATCAAAATCAAAATCAAAATCAAATCAAATCAAATCAAAATCAGATCAGATCAGATCAAATCAAGGGTTTTCATTTAAGCCTTGATTATGATTTCCTTGATTCCCTAATTCCTTGGTTTTAATTGAATGTTCTCAATATCTGCATTCTGCATTCACCAAGCTGTCTTTTGGTTGTGATATGAGTGTGTTGAGTTACCTCCTGTTTTAACTGTTCCCAAGTAGTTCCTTCGTCAATATTTGAGTTCTCTAGGTTCCTCCGGAATATACCAACAGTTCGGGCCAAAGTTGCAGCCCTAGATATCATCTTCTTTTATACATTGAATATCACAAAATTTATCACACCATTGGCACGAGGGGAGAGGGGGAAAAATGATTTTAGTCACTTTTGAGATTTACAAAAAATGCGGGGTTACCCACAAAGCATGAGACATTAAAGACGACCCACAACTCATAAAATATGACGATTTGAAGCCTGACTTTTGGTTTATGACTTCATTTATTAGTTTAATGGATCACTAAATGATTAAGCAGAGAAATAAGCCAGTATTGGAATAGTAAGAAAGGGGACTTAACAAATTCCGTATACAGTTGTCTCTGAAGTCTCATTCTTTGTGGGCCCTGTATAGTGTACATTTTGTAGAGTTTAAGCAAAAATCATGATTCTTACTATTAGTTCAAATTATGCAATATATTCTTAAATTTTTTTCCTGGAATATTGGGGTTGTTTAGGGGCAGGGGAGGGGGAGCTGAATTTTAGCGAAAATGGTACTATACAGTGTTTATTGCATTATAGTTCTGGACTAACCACTAACCAGCGCTTAATATATTCAGTAACTTTAAAATTAATTCAATCGCGTTTTGGTCTATAATTAAACAATCTTAGCAATTACAGAGTTGTCTGTAAATATTTTTATTTGAAGCACATCAACGGAAAAAAACAGTTTATAAGTGAAAAAAATTGGTCAAATTGGGATCGGAAGTGACAGCTATAGACCTAATTATTGAATCAATGAATTGAATCAATATTCTGTTTACCTGAATACTCCTGGAGAGAAGAGAGCACCAAGGTAGAGCTGTCTAGGATCCTCATCTTCGTTCTCTAAAACAACATATTGGAGGTTTTAAGAACTGTAGACATGATATCAAGTGATCCTTCATTTACTGAGAGGTAATGTCCAATTAACAACGAGGTTTATCTGAGAGATTAATAATTAATCAATGAGCTATCATCTTCTGTAAAAAAAGATTATTTTCAATGAGAGTTTTTCTTTTAAGTGACTTCGGATCTTCTGGCCACATATGAAACATTGGTAATTCTTGACAGTCCGTTCAAAACAAACCAAAAGAAAAGCGGTTTTTATATTTGGTTATGCGATACTGATTTGACCTTAGCTTAAAATCCGTTAAATTTGACAGACATCAAGCAGACATTTGAACTTTATCATGAATACTTGATCATCTAACTCCAGGTTCAAGTTCTGCTAGAACTAACCCCCCTCCCCCTCCTCCTCCTACCTAGTTCTAGTTCCTCTACTCCAGGTTCAGATTCAGCTAGAACCACGTTCTCCCAGCCTGAAGATACTCCAACTGTACTTCTTCTCACTATCGTCTCTCCTTCACTAAACATAATATCATTAAATGATGGGATGGGAATAGATACAGAGATACCAACATTGATTTTTGTGCTTTGTACTTTGTTAACTTTGTTCTTTTCACTGAGTTTCCGAGATGTTCAACGCCTTCTTCACTTTTATAATGTTAAGTGACACAATTTTCTGTTTTAATTAGTAAAGTAAGTTAATTGTCAGTTAATTAAAAAAAATTTGTGTCCGCTATTTATTGTATGCTTAATGCTAATAATGTCTAGTTGTTTTTTATGTCTAACTCTTCTGTCTGCTTCGTAATTTACAATTAATCATTTCGTATAAGTACACAAGTAGATTATATAAATTGTATTCGATTTAAACTTTCAAATATCAATATATCGCAAAAACATCACTATTTCGGAAATGATCTGAAACAGAAAAAACGTTTGGGTCAAACACTGTAAATGCTTAGAATAAACTATTATATATGTATGTTAACCTTGTAGTCCATACAGCTGCTATACCCTGGGAGGTTGGAGAAAATCCGACAAGATCATGTTCAGGACAGTACAGGGTTCCCCTGGAATAATATTATGATAACAATAACAATAGCAATAACAATAACAATAACAATAACAATAACAATAATAATAACAATACAATAACAATAACTACAATAACTACAATAACAACATCAACAACAAAAATAGCAATAACAATAACAATAACAATAACAATAACAACATCAACAACAAAAATAGCAATAAACATAACAATATCAACAACAATTTTAACTGTCAACTGTAGCAGTTACAGAGGCAGAAGTAGTAGCAGTAGCAATAACAGAAGAAATTCTGCGCCAATGCATTTTTCGGAATGTATTATTTTTACAACAATATTAAAAATATTAAAATCGAAAAGATTTTGATTAAGATGATGCCAAAGACAGATTTAATGACAACGAAAATGACGATGCCGATAACAAAAACATAACAACAAAAAAACTAGTAAAGCCCGGCTTTAGAGTCTATTTGCACCCAAGTAAAGACCAAGTAAAGACTCGAGGTTTTGCTAGACTTGGTTTTATTTTAAGTAAAACCGACTCACTTGGTTTAAACTCTTTTTAGACTTGCATTTAAAATCTCAGTGGTTATCTGAGGTGTCAAAATTAGCTAGATTTATATAAAAAACACGGTGGAAAGAATGTACAAACTTAAACTTTGAGTTTTCGAAATTTACGTTGAGGAAAGCTTAATTTAACAGCTATTTATGCAAATCCAGCTTTTAAAGCATCTCCCAAAAGCCAGCCTAAGATTTAAGTCTCCACAAACACTTGAGCTTAACTTAAAAAAATCTCAGCTCCGGTTGCAAATTGAGAGGTTTAACTCTGGGAGGCAATAAAAATGTCAAAAACAATAACAACAACAATGTTAATATTTTTCAGAAATAAATGATTTTTGATGAATTGGGGAAAAAAAAATTTAAAATGACAAGTTTTTTTCATCCTTTTTGATATTTTTACTCAAAAAAATCATATATTTTCCCAAATTCAGCGAAAAATCCCTAATATTGATTTTTTATGAAAATATACACAGCCCTGTATTTACCTGGGATTGATATCTAACTGCCCAGCCCTCTGAAGGAGACCAAGAAGAAGGAATTGACTGTGCTGTTGGAAACACAGGAAAACGCACACCAGCACTTCTTCACTCTTATCCTTAATCAGCTAAATTTAAAACCACTAAAACCATTATGAATAAATGCATTGTTCCAAAAGCGGCAGATTTGGATTTCATGGTTCGGATGGAAATTCCAAAAAATCGTTTACAAATGAAATTGTATAAAATTCTCAGAATGAGCCATCTTTTTTTTTAGTGTCCTAACAGAATTTAAATCCCCCTTTCACTCAGAAACGATATGGAATGATTTTTGATGGTCTGGTGGGAATTCAAGTTTTTTTTACCCTGTTTCACACTTGTACCCAAAACGTAATTTGTTTTCCCATAATAAATCTTTAATAAAACCATAAATTCTTTTTGTTTAAACCCACAATCTTGCCTGGAAGAATAATTATCAAAAGTAGGGGGGGTATCCCATCCTCTGTACCTACGGGTGTGATAATGAAGGATTGAGGTTGGTCCCTTATATCCGCGGACCGGGTTAAACTGGTCCAAACCATTCCCAGGTAGTTTCTAGCGCTGGACAGCTGTTTTACACTCGTCATGCCGCGTACCTTAATATCAATACAAAATCAGCTCTAAAATAGTTAGAAAACGACTCTTAGACAAAGCAAGGGGCTTTACTGCGTCTTATTCTTGGATTAATTAATTAACATTGAACTAGAAAGTTACGTTTCCCTTATTTTATTTGAGCATTTTTAACATTTATTTCCATCATTCTATACAATTAAATCGAAAAATCATTGTTGAAATATTTGACGTCTGGTTTTATCAAACCAACACTTTGTAGGCATAATTTAGTACATGGTTTAAAGATATAAAGTTGTGAAATTAACCGTACAAAATACAGTTTTGACAAAGAATCTAAATCTCTCTACCTGTCCCATTTTAACGCAAGTCAGCTCGCCCTGGTTGTTCCCCAGCACAAATACTGATTCCTCATCCTAAAAAAAAATATTTTTTGTTTGAATCTATTTAACTAAGTAATTGTTTAAAGCCAACAAAAATGTTACAGGGGGCAACAAGTGTAATAATTAACAAATACAAACAAACGGGTTATTGCTATAAATATACATCCCAGTTCAATTTTTTATCAAGAATCAGGTAAATTATTGATCCAATGAACTAGCAAGAAAAGTACCCCCCCCCCCCCAAAAAAAAACCTGAACTATCGGATAAAATACGTAAAATGATCAATCTAGGGTAGTGATGGTTAGTTACCAAGCGTTGTAATAGATAGAATAAAAGTGAAAGGTGTTCATTTACAAAAACATATTAAGCTTTGAAAACAAAAATAAAATTAAAACTTTTGCAGTAAAATAATTCATGTTTATTGTATAGCAGCCCAGTGGCAAGGCTGATGCATATCCAACAATCCACCATATTAATACGATTTAAAAATATTTTCTTTTTAAACATTTTTTAAAAAGCGAATTAAAAAAATGTACTTGGCTGATTGACTCGACTTTAGGGGTGTATATTTCCCTAAAAAATCATCCTCTCCCTTTTAAGAAAATAATTTATTTTCCCAAGAAGTAACAATAAAATGTTCAGGAGTTTTCGCTGAATTAGGGAAAATATACACCCCCATGATTAAAAAGAATGAAATAACTTGCCTTTTGATATCCCTTTTTATTTTTCTTTGGGTGGATTATACATCACCCCAATAAAAAAAAAAATTAATTTCGTGTGGGGGGGGGGGGCGTCGGATTCTGAAAAATATACACCCCTGCTGGATTTTTTCCTTTTCAATGATAAAATAAACTCTCCTTGTTTTAGGTGCAAACTGATAGGGAAAAATTACTTTGGAAGAGGAGGGGAAAAATGATCGTTCCAGAAATAATAAGTTATGAAGAATTTGCCCAAAATAATTATCTTACATGTGTGAAGTATGTTGCTGCAATATTAGGCAGAGGTGAGGCAGAGGCCCAGGATAGAAGATGCTGATACTCCCTACACAATCAATCAATCAATCAAGCAACTCCCCAACCAACCAACCTCCAAACAAATCAATCATTCACGCCAACAATCACACAAACCAACCAACTAACAAATAATAAAAAAACACCAACCAACTAGTCTCAACGTTATTTACCTAGCAGTAGCAACACTGGCCTCCGAGAGGATAGACATGAGTCCTCCATCCTCCGTCCTCGCCAAATCACTCTTCTCCAGCCTCGTAGGATGAGGGAATGAGAGCCTATGGACGGAGGTAACTGTAGGGACGAGGATGACGACCTGCCCCCAGCTTTCATGAACTGAAACTCCATCCAGGAGCGGAGAATCCTGGAACCTGTAACGAACCTAAAACGAAAAAAAACCTGACAAGGGGTTCCTAAAAACCAGTGCTTATGATCCATTCAATTTTGATGCGGATCCGGATTCGGATTTAACATAAGAGAATTTTAAGTTTTTTGTCTTATTTTTTCGCTTATTTTTATGCTTAAACTTGATAACCGTTCAGATATAAGGAAAATTTTATAATATCTTTTTTATATAGTTCAGATTTGAGCTTTGAGAGTAATCTTTTTTTAGCAGTTTTTGGTTGATATTTTTCCCCCAAGATCCGGATCCGTGGATCCGCATATTTTTTGCGGATCCGGATCCAGGAAGCCAAAATCTTGCGGATCCAATGAATTCGGATCCCGTATCCTAAGCATTGCAAAAATCAATTTGCCCAAAACCTTAGCCCTTTAACCATGCCGCCGGTTCAAATTTGAATCACCGATTCAAATCCTCCCTGATTCTTTAACTTTGAATCGGTGGTTCAAGTTTGAACCGGCAGTTGGTAGTTCAGAGACGATGCTCAAATTCATTAAATTCGGTTCCGAGACTGTAGAACTACAATGAGAATGCTCATTGCTTATGGTTAGAAGAAAAAGAAGACAACAATTCCTATGTTGTTAAAGTCTCTGTATCATTAATTTTTTCACAGAATTTTAGATAAATATCTACCTTATTTCCCGAGAGATTGAAGTTTAGAGAGATTTCACATAGTTCCAGAATATCTCCTATAGTTCTCCAGTACAAGGTTCGGTTTGCCAGGGACGGAGAACCCTCTGGGTTGGAGTAAACATATCCTCCAGCTGTATCCGGCAGCTTTATTTCCTGAAGCATAACAAATTAGGAAATGAGTAAACACATCCTCCAGCTTAATTAGTTTAATTTTAATCCATCTTATATAAATCTACGGATTAATTTAATTCCTCTTCGATATCCCGTGGTGGTCATATCCTGCAGTGATAACTTTAATAGAAGTCAAGTTTTGATCCTCTTATTTTAAAGTACCCACATTAGGTATTGAAATCAAGAGTTCAAGGTTTGTAATACTCTACACAAAAATTCCAACCACAAAAAGCCCTAATTCGTAAATTATATCCGACGGATAAATGTACTTCCTTTTGGATATCTTTTCAGCAAAAATATTAGAAAACCTTTTTTTAAAGATTACGAATAAGAACGATTTAAATTAGCGTCTGCTTTAGATATTGAGTTCAGGTACTATCTCATACAAAAGTTTCGACAGGTTGCCAGACTTAGGATTAGGATACATAATACTTTCATGATATATTTCAGAACATAAATAGATTGATATTAGAAGAATGAGAATGTTAACCTGCAGAGTGGAGAGCCTTCCACCTGTTGGAACCACAAACTCCTTGTGTTTCCGAAACCTGGTTTGGTTGGGAATGACCTCACGCAGTCCTCGAGGGTGTCCGAACCCGTCTCCCTCCCGACCAGTCGCGGCCATTTTGTTTAATTTGCAAGATTTGTCTGAAATTACGCAAAACATGAGAGGTACACTGTGTGTTTACAATGAAAACAGATGAAGTCTGGTTTAAATGCCTAGATCTGCGAACTACTTGATCTAGAAATATATTTACATATAGATGGGCTGAGTCTAGATAATCATTGGGTCTAACAATTTGTCCATTATCTAGGATTGTCAGCTTGTTACTCTAGATCCTTGTACTGTGACGGTTGTATGATCTAGAAAGCGTATCTTGTTCTGATATCCTCCAACTTCTTGCTCACCTCGGCCGGGGTTCTGTCCAACTCCTCCGCGATGGACTTCTGTTTGGTCGGCTCCAAGGTGTTGAACTGCTCACATAGGTCTCCGTCCAACACGTTCTTGACGGGGTAGTAGTATGATCTGTAGCTCAGATGATCACGTCCACATAGCGGAGGGTTCTCACCACGCATATGCATCTCAAGATGTTGGAAGAAATCATGATCTTCGTTAGATGTAAATGGAACCAACATACCAACCGTTCCTGGAATTAAGAACATGTTCAAATCTACTGTGTAGGTTGGAGACGATTCGGTAAACCCTGAAGACGTTTCAAGACTCAAGATGAAGATGAAGAAACAAGATTCAACCTGCATTTATACTAATATTGTTATTCGTAAATGTTAAAACAATTATCTTCAAAACCACATAAATAAAAATTAATTCTTTAAAAAAATCTTAAAACTCAAATGTAAACTTTTAAGATTACTTTATACCCAAAACTATAAATATTTTATATTTAGAACCATGAGTTTTATCAAAAAATATTAAATCAATATTTACTCATTTTTTGCTTTTCTTAAAAATATTAAATTCTGAACAATTTTCAGAAAGAATGAGAGAGCTTTAAAAGCGCGTAGTTGGACTTAATCTGTGACCAGGATGTATAAACCTATAACCCGAGCCACATTACTGGAGTTTTATAGATACACATTTATACATTTGAAAGGAAATGCATTTAAAAAGATTTAACACAAACTTTTTTAATAGATCTCAGTGAAAACTGCGTTTCTGCCTAAATGCTGTATGCACACTGCACAGTGGTCTAAAACGTCCTTTAGGGTAAGAAAAGAAAAACTTTCTAAAAAATGTGCAATAACTAATAAAGCACTTTTTGTAGACTGAGCAGCGTGTAAAGGTTGAGTGTATCGAAGCTTTTTTATACGAAGATTAAATAGATATTAGATCTAAAATGTATTGTCAAATTATGCATACAAAAAACACACTACGGTTTCTATAAGTTAACTTTTATAGAAAACTGAAACCAGTGCTGAAATTCTACTCAATAGTAAAGTGTTACTGCTATACTCGGACTTCATGTCCCAAAAGGTAGATTATTTTCACATAAAAAACATTGATTTTGTGAAAATTTAATGTTATTGAAATCTAAAAACTCAATAACAAATAAATAACGATATTATTTGATTAGAACTCTTAGAAATGGTCCCACACCTGATAAAAAAAAGTTTCTGAAAATGTCATAAGAAATAATAAAAAATTATTTGTTATCAATTAATCAATAATTTGTTTAGACATTAATAATCGATTGATGAGTATGAAAGGATTGAACTGTGAACTGTAAACTACTGTGCTCTCATGTTAATGGATACCCACCGTGACGTAAGTTTTTATACTTTGTAATGAATGTTAGAATATCGATCATGAAAATATTTAAAGAAAATTATATTTTTGTATTCTTTCATAAAAACCTACATTGTCCAAAAAAGTCCAACATTTAACATAAAAAAGCCGCGCATAATTTGGCTTCTTCTGTAAATATTTTATAAATCATTTTATTTTTCAGTTTTCCCCTGATTGGAATTACTGTCAACAAATAAATTCAAAAACTGACGGAGTCGTTTAATCCGAGTGATAAAGAGAAAGGCTTTTAAGCATTCCGATAAGAAACTAAATCTTCAGGGTGCATTGGTTGTACCCGTTCAAGTGGGAGCACAAGATAAAACTTTATTGGACGAATCAGATTTTTGCTGGAAACCACACATACGCGAACCATTGTTTAACGAAAATGCGCAAATTACAAAAATATTGAAATAGCACAAACCTGATAATGTTGTGTAAACCAATGAATCTGATCCACCAGGTATAAGAGCAGCCTTCTGTAGAGATACCATCGTTTCTCCTAATTTTGAAATGTAAAAAATTAAGACAAAATATTATTGAGAAAGAAAGTTTATTTCGATAAATTACGCATGGATTGTGAAGCCCATAACACCCTCCTATTAATGGGACTGTTAGTGTAATTTTAAGTTAAACTAGATTAACTTTTATTTTTGGTTTCTCTATCACTAACGCATTTCTTCCTTTTAAGAAACAATGGAGAAAATATCTAAATACGTTACGAGTCAGAAAAAACGACGTTATCTTCCACATTTTGAGTCAGATCAAGATTTTAATTGTACCGTTGGAAGGGTCACTTGAAATTAATGACAATGGTATAATGATCATATTACTCACCCACGTGGAAAACAGACACACATTCTGCCTTCTGTCCGGCACCAGACAATAAACCACGGTCCCACAGAGATTTGGACCCTAGAAATAATATCAGGGCTTTAGTTTTAACATTACTTAGTTCAAAATAGTTTTTAAACATTTGAACAAGGCTAGGGTGTTCAATTTTTCTTCAAAATTAGCCGAACATAATGCACAACAACAAGAAAATGGAGAACAAGGAAAAAAGAAATGTCAAAATATTTCCATTTGCTATCATCTAATTATTTATAGAATATTCTTCAAAATAAATTCAAATATGCCAAAAAAACATTTAAACTAGTTCTTAGCAAAAACATACGATTCCACATATTTAGATAAACCGGAAGTAATAGTCCACTCCTTATTTCATAGGTGCTATATCAGGATGAAAATTTGACTATGAATCAAATACAACTTTCTATTGTTATTGTTGAACTGTTGCATCCTCATTTATATCATCGTTTGTATTGATATCATAATGAACAGGACTAAGATCCAACCCCTATTGGGTCCTCAACTCAATCATCGTTTGCATTGGATGTATGCCCATTGCCCCCCCCCCCCCATGTATGTATATACCTACCTACCCTAAGGTAGTCTGTAAACCTTCTAGCCTGTTCGGTGGGTCCTCACTCCTCATCTTTATCATACAGGGTGTCCCAAAAAAGATGGGAATTGAGTGACGACTTTATTATCGTCTTCGATAAATGCAGCAATTTTTCATTAACACAGTTTTAACATTTAATATCAAAAACACCTGGTCTTGAGATTTTCAAAATGTGGTCTACCATTTGTGTATCTTTAAATTGACGAAGATAAGGCAAAATTTGTACAAAGTTCAATTTAATTAATAAATCAAAATTGTCTACGTCAATGTTTGAGACACAAGAAAGGCAGACCACAATATGAATAGCTCGTGAGGAATACAGCCTCGTTTTTATACTTCCTTTGTCATGCATTAAATATCAGAAATGAAAGAAAGATTTTAAAGTCGTCTTTAAATTCCCATATTTATTGAGACACTGCAGTTTGTATGAAATATTATTGCATCCTTACCTACCCAGATCTAGTAACCCCTTCTTACCTGTTGGATCTTCGTCTATGTCATCATTAGTATTTGATGGTAATCGAACAACACTAAGGTTACCAAACTTGTCAGCAACTGCTACTGTGGAATAATCCAGAGGACATGTTGAAGTTACCCACCTAAAAAAACATCAATTATAATTAACCCAAAATTTTCTCAAGATTGTTCTTCATGATTAAAAGTGTTGATCGACTTAAAGTACCTTGGCGTTGTGTCATCTGCGAATACAATTAGTTGATTTTCACTTCTTCTATACTTCACCCAATGAACGGATTCCTAAAATTATTGAAAATTATTGAAAATTTCACATAAATAGCTGAAGTTCGACGAACAGAACCTTACACTACAGTTACATGTAGCATAACCGTACAGTACTACACAGTACAGTAACGGTACAGTACAGTACAGTACAGTACAGTACAGTACAGTACAGTACAGTACAGTACAGTACAGTACAGTACAGTACAGTACAGTACAGTACAGTACAGTACAGTACAGTACAGTACAGTACAGTACAGTACAGTACAGTACAGTACAGTACAGTACAGTACAGTACAGTACAGTACAGTACAGTACAGTACAGTACAGTACAGTACAGTACAGTACAGTACAGTACAGTAAAATACAGCAATTTACAATTCAAAGATTGCATTGCAATTCAGTTTCTCACCTGTACATCTGAAACAATAATACGTTCTCCGACGGTTTTGATGTCAACAACAATATGAGGAATATGTTTGTTTTCACACTTTCTCAACAACTTCTTTCTTCCCAGGTCGTAGAGACGTAGTAGCTTACCTACTCCAATCAATACCTAGACATATTCATGTATTACAGGATACAGCTAAGCAAGATGTATAAAAAATCTCTACTTGGTTATTTACCCTGTATCATTTACAATCTTATGTCCAATAACCAGTTCCCTGTTCCCCTGTCCCATCTACTATTCCCCTATCCTATCTACCACTCCCATATTCTATCTACCACTCCCATATTCTATCTACCATTCCCGTCTATCTAGCCTATCTACCAGTCCCCTATCCCATCTACCATTCTCATATCCCATCTACCATTCTCATATCCCATCTACCATTCCCATGTCCCTTTCGATTCCCCTGTCCCATATACTATTGCCTTATCCTATTTATATTCCCCTGTCCTATCTACCAATACCCTGTCCCTTCTACCATTCCCCTGTCCCTTCTACTATTCCCTCTGTCCTATCTACCAATACCCTGTCCCTTCTACCATTCCGCTGTGCTATCTACCAATACCCTGTCTCATCTACCAATACCCTGTCCCTTCTACCATTCCCCTGTCCTATCTACCAATACCCTGTCTCATCTACCAATACCCTGTCTCATCTACCATTCCCCCGTCCCTTCTACCATTCCCCTGTCCTATCTACCAATACCCTGTCCTATCTACCAATACCCTGTCTCATCTACCATTCCCCCGTCCCTTCTACCATTCCCCTGTCTCATCTACCAATACCCTGTCTCATCTACCATTCCCCCGTCCCATATACTATTCACTGTCTCATCTACAATCTCCGATGTCCCAACTAAATATAATCTCTCCTGTCCTATCTGTAACAACATAAATTAACCCCTTTCCCTTCTCCTCTCTATCCCCTCGTTAAAATAACTCCCACCTTGTTCTGGAACGAGTGAATGGCATATGGAATCTCATCAACCGCCGTTCTGTGAATAAGTTCTAGTCCAGTACCGCCGTGGATAATTCTGTAAACGTGAACGGAACCGCCTCCAACGGAGCGGGGGCTCAGCTGATAATCCTTGGCCACGCCCACCAAGCAGAAGGTGGAGGTGGGGTCCATGTGAGGGAACTTACACAGGGCAACGCTCATTGCGGCGTCATTCTGATCCAAGTTTATAACCTTAATAGAAAATACGTTAAGAAAAAGAAAGTGTTTCGGAACCCAACCAAATAAGAATGAACATATTTTAAAAATGAATCATAAGATCAAATTAGTAGCATGGAATAGAAAAACTAATTTAAAAAACGTTATCATTAGAATACAAAAACTTTCAACATTTTTTGACGGGGAAAGATATCACCTAAGAGGATATCACATCAAATAAAAAACGCAGGGATTTGTTGTCAGTTTCTATGCTTGAAGGATAAGTATAGAAAAAAAACAGTTATTTCCAAATGAGGCAAGATAATTAATTGAGAACAAAGTTTGCTGTTAAAAAGGGGGGCTTATAATAATATTTTAAAGAATAAGATATAAATAATTATTTTGAAAAAGTAGTTTATTTTGGCATGTACAACTTTTAAGTTATTTACGATTTATCTAGTTTTTGTTCTTTTCTATTATAGGGTGAGAATTTTTGCATCATATCTTTTAAATTCTTAAAATAATGTCGGCATATAATAATATTTTTACCTGAATTGTGCGTCCGTTGATTGGGTTGAAAAGACGGATACAAGAAGCCCACATACCCGCCCCCGCCTTGGGAGCTCCGAAGGTTGCTTCAGGAAGGTTTTCTGTTAAGAAGGCCTCCGCCATTTCATTCGCCAAATCCTGAACAGTTCAGATTGAATTTATCTGTTAAATCAATTATTAAGGCATAATCTATATAAGTAAGCAAATCTAACTGACGAGTAGCCATTATCAAAAAAAGTATTTCCATCGTCTAATCTATCCTAAAATGAACAACAAAAATACTAATCTTTGGACTCGCAATCCATTTTCCAGATTTCTCCTTTCCAAATTCATTTCCTATTCTTTTCAATTTCCTTTAACAATATTTTTTTCTTTCAGACGGCATTTCCTCACATTTTCCATTAGATTTATTTGATAATTGTAACAAAATTGTTGGGGATATTCCATGGCCCCAGGCAATCCCACCCCTAAGCACTTCCCCTCACGAAACGCCTGGGGTCCGCCCAGGGCATGTTTTATTAAGGAACCCTGAATGTAGGCGTACCCGGTTACAGGGTTTCCGGACAGTAACATACAAAATATCTGCCCAAACTGCCAAGAAACTCCCACATATTCAATTGCCCTCCAAACCCACCCACCTAACCCAAAGTAGTCTCTATACAAGCCGCAGGAGGCTGCAAGCTTCCTGGGACTAAATGAAGAAGAGAGTTAATGATGATTGGCTACAACAACAACAACAACCAAGATTACCTGTTCGTCTTCTCCAGCCGCTTCTCTCATCTCCTCCGCCATCTGTATCTTCCTCTGGCTCTTCGTGTCCTCGGTGTACGCGTTGTGGTCGGTCTCAATAACAATCATCATTCCTGAACAAAATCAGAATGAACAGAATTATTTAAAATATCTCACCAAGATGCATCAATTTGTCCCCTTATGAAAAATTCAGGGTTTATTTGAAAAATGTAGTAATTATATAAAAAAATCTTAATTTAAGGTGAACTTTAAAATGATTTTTCAACGAACCTTCCTTGAACCTATGTTTGTTAATATGTGTTAACAACATTGTTTTATTCTTTTAAGAAGTTCACTATTGTATTCAAAATTACATGACAAGAATTTGATCCTGAAAAGAATCAACAATGGCGCATAAAAAGGGTGACGAAACTGCATAAAAATGAATAATATTTAAATGGATTTAAGGGTAATACTTCTTTTAAAGAATTTGGACCATTGATTTATTTTATTGCGCTTCGTAACAAACCTGACTCTGGATGAACTACGAATTTCCTGGGCGTAAACTCGAGGTTGTAGGCCACCTGATTGAACACTGCTCCCAACTTCTCAAGCGCCAGAATTCTTAAGTTAAAAAGTTTTAACATTTTGACTGAACTAGTCAAATAAACACACAACTTGAAAATTCATACATTTAAACGTGTAAGAATTGTTCATTGAATAATTATTTTTCAACTTCATAAATGTGCTTTTTTTAGATTTAACCTCGTTCTCGTCCTTCAGATTATTTACCTAAGTGTGTTGGTTGAGATAGCTACCACACCCTCGGGACACTGTTCACTAGAGAACCCAGCAGCATACTCCAGGGTATCATAGGATAGCGGAGTCAAATGGAACCTAGAATATTTAATATCTAAATAGAGCATACTCCAGGGTATCATAGGATAGCGGAGTCAAATGGAACCTAAAATATTTAATATCTAAATATAGAATACTCCAGGGTATCATAGGATAGCGGAGTAAAGTGGAAAATAGAATATTTAATATCTAAACATAGCATACTCCAGGGTAACATAGGAGAGCGAATTCAAATGGAACCTAGAATATTTAATATCTAAACATAGCATACTCCAGGGTAACATAGGATAGGGGAGTCAAATGGAACCTAGAATATTTAATATCTAAATAGAGCATACTCCAGGGTATCATAGGATAGGGGAGTCAAGTGGAACCTAGAATATTTAATATCTAAATAGAGCCTACTCCAGGGTCTCATAGGATAGCGGAGTCAAGTGGAACCTAGAATATTTAATATCTAAATATAGCATACTCCAGGGTATCATAGGATAGCGGAGTCAAGTGGAACCTAGAATATTTAATATATAAACAGTGCATACTCCAGGGTAACATAGGATAGGGGAGTCAAGTGGAACCTATTTTAGAAGATTGAAATTTGCGAGAAAAATGTAGAAGATGGTTGATTTTTTTTTGTTTAAATACGAGATGAAGCGGAGAGGCCAGTATGCTGTGTTAAAACCAAGGCGGAGATTTTATCAAAAAGGAAAGATAAAACTGCAGGAACAAATCTTATCTGTTAAATAAATTCAGTCAGTATAAAGAAAAAATTTACAGATAAAGAGAGAGAAGGAGAATTATAAAAAACCTGTTAGAGTAGTAGTATGAGATCCAGGTTCGAGATGACATCGCCAGGACAGCTTCTCCGCCCTGCATTGTTACACGGAACAATTTGACCGGCCGGGATCCAATATACCTGAATATTAAAATTATCTTAGTTGGGTCATTATCTTTTCATAGTAAAAGAGGTAGAGTGGTAGATTGTTTGGTTTCTGGTAGTTGGTGGTTTGGGTATTTCTGTTGGTGTGTCGTTTGGTTGGTTGGTAGTTTAGTAGACACATAGTTTGGTTGATAAATAATGAATAGTTTGGCTTGTCGGTATCTCAGTTGGTGAATTGTTTGGTTGGTCGGTAGTTTAACTGATAGGTTTTAAATATATGATCGTTTGGTTCCCGAGTTTGTTCAAATAAGACCAGAACTTACAGGGGTGGGATGGTTTTTTTCAACTTTTACGAAAGGACAACTCAGAAACTGATTTGATTGTAAAAACAACAATTTGTATACAGTGATTTCAGATGCCCGTCTCTACTCCCCAAATTCCGCCCCCTAAAGTTATTCAAGTTATTTGAGTTTTTTCTTCATAAAACTGGTTCCTGAGCAAATACGTTAAAAAATAAATGGGAAAGGATTTAATAAATCAACCATGCTTCTCAGTTTTCTTGATTCTCAATGTTGTTCTCTAAGTAAAGTCGCCTTTAAATCGTTCCATTTTCTTCACCTTGTCCTTGTATCAGATAGATCTCCTGTCACTTGATCAACTACAGTCCTGAGCAGTACACCGTTGTGTAAACCAATATTGAGATAGAACTGTCCTTGTACTCCGGCTTCTCCATCCCGTCCCTCCGTTCCTCCCATCTCACTCAAACACAGGCTCTCAGCAGAGTCAGGTAGAGCCTGAAGAGTAAATAAACTAGGAACCAGACTTGAAAAGCGAAATGTAGTTGAACCGCGTAACGTAGTTGAACCACTACATTTCAACTTGACCCGGCGCACAAGATAAGTGGTTCAACATCGTCTACTGCTCCAACTACTTTTCCTCATTCATTCTAATCCTATTTTTCCTTTATTTACGACATATTTACTATTTTTGGCCGAGGAAATTGAATGTTAAATTACGATTTATTAGTTGTATTATCAACTACGTAGAAGCAATGAAATAAGTTCAATAGTTCGACAACAAAAATCTAAATTTTTCGGACAACATGTTTCGAGTTCAAAACTAAAATAAATTATTTTTAATGTGCTTTCGCAACAACATCATCATTAAGCAGATTATAGGCAAAGAGTAAAAAATGATACTTGATAGATTTTAGAAAGGTGCTTTTACCTGCATAGAGAGAGGAGTCAAGCAATCATTAGGATCCAGAGATATAATCCTGACAGTATTATCTGCTAAACCTACAGCCAGGAATCTACACCTCTGCTCGCCAGCAGGAACATTGCCTAATGCCATGCACACAACATCAGCAGACATCTCTTTCCTCTCCGTGTACTCGTTCAGCTGACCAGACGGATCCATCTCAAAGTACACCAGCTCTCCCCCGGTCAAAGCAATGACCACCTGACGCTGGTTGACCGCACAGCGGACAATTGTTTTCTTGCCCGGGGTTTTCCACTCGTTGACACGCTTGTCTGAACGAATATGACGAATACCGTCAGGGTAAACCTGGACAAGGGCATCGTCTCCGATCTGTGCACAAGACAATGTTGGCGTAGTTCCCAGGAACCCGGAGTCTGTTACTTCCTCAACTGTTTCTCCGATAGAGAGAACAAGGGTAGCGTTCACGAAGGATACAATGATATACGCGTCAAACTCGTCATCATACCTCTTCTTGACAGTCCAGACGGCGTTGGGGTTACCGGGCAGCTCGGAGACCGCCATCTCACTGACCTCCAACCCGTGACGAAGCACTCGCATAGTCGACCTCGGTCCTCGGCCACAAGCAGCGTATATCTGTGGTGTGTCCTCATTAGCGAGGTCAGCAATCTGCGCGTGAAGGATAGGTGACAGGGATTCGAGTTCGTCGACGAGCACGAGATTTCTGAGTGGACGAGGAGCAAAGAAGAATGTGTCTCCCTCCTCCAGGGGCATAGCAGAGCTGAACTCAGGTTCATCATCATCATCTCCAAGATGCGCAATCTGGTAGAGATAATGATTTCCAAACTCAGAAGCGACGAACAGAAATCCAGTTTTCAGTACGTTCATCCCGCTGGCGACGGGGACGGTGTCGAAGTACTTGAGCTTGATTTCCGTCACCATGTCCTCGTCTGTCTCCAGGGTTATCTTAAAAATGTCGCCCTGCTCTGTCTGCACCAGGAAGAAGAACATGGACTTGGTCTTGTGGGTGGCACTGCAGACAAAGATCATTCCTCTTTCAGGATCGTCCAGATCGTTTCTTCGTCTAGGGATCGGACACCGGATATCCGGTTGATCTCCCAGGTTCTTGTATGTGATATAATTCTCTGAACAAATGAGAACTCCGGAGGGACCGTCGTTTCCTCCCGGAACTGAGATCAAGAAGTTTGCGTGCTCGTCCAGAGGTTCGGAGTACTTCCTCACCACGTGGTTGAGACCAAGGTCCAACTCGTAGAAGGTCAACGTCTGCTGGGTCTTCTGGGCAGCCTCGCCTACATGGAAATAAAGTATCACTATTTTAGTGCATGTAATAATTTAATTTTGTTAACAGGGTTGCAAAGCATGAGACTATTATCGCTTGAATTCCATTAAAATGGTAAATTTGATTTTCTGACTTTTATACAGTGTGTATGATATACAACTTAACAAAGAATGAACAAAGAATGAACTAAAAATGGAAGGGAAAAGACGGAATTATTCAATTAAGCCGTCTCTTAAGTCTTATACTTTGTAGGTAACCCTGTATATCTCCATTTCATCCACTAAATTAACAAAAAAAGGAACGTTTTAAAATGCCTTACTGTAAAATATTTCATTCATTACTTATAACAGGAGTTCTTACGGCGATATCTATCTATCTATCTATTAAGACTCCCCAATAACACAAGTGTTATCAGGTAACCTCCCCTCCCTACAACCCAGAATATGATGGCTTTACCTGTTGGGTCATTATCCGCCTCCTCGTAATCTATCTCTAGACACGCAAACAATGGATTCTCAAACCCTACATCTACACCAACTATATGGAACACAATCGTATTCGTCTTGTGCGCTTCCAGGGGGGAGGAGATTGTCAGACGCGCCTGTGCGTCACGATTCATGATGAAAACTAGTTTTTGCTTCTCAATCGCGCCGACCATCACAGCCCGTCCTTTAGGGTCAATCGCTAGATATTGTCCGGGAACAATTCTGGATAAACCATTTCTTCATTAGTAATTCAAATCAAATATTAAATGAAATAACCAAGGACAAAGAACTTGGAAGGAAAAACTTAAAAATCAGACCCAAAACCATTTTTCACTTAAATTTGTTCCTCGCTTAAAGAATAAATTCCCAGAGAATCACATACTATGAGTTTCAAGATAAACTTATGGTTTCTTAAATTAAATGGTTAGGGGGGGGGGTGCATCCCCCCCACAAACTGTAAGATGAATAGGTTTCCTTCTGCAGCCGCTTTTCCCAAAAGTCTCGATGTGAACCCTGTCGAAGGAGTTCTTTGCTGCGTTGTACTCCAGGATACAGATTCGACCAGAGTCAGATCCAACAACAACATAATCCTTACCTCCACCTGGACATAAAACGAATTGAATAAAACTAGAAAATTTGCCCAAAGCGAATACATTAGCATGCAGATTTTTAAAAGAAGAAAAATCGACAATTCAAAATAAATTTTTTTCTTTAGTATTNTATCAACACTGCCAATCTGGCGAATAATTATTAGATTATCTCCAAGTTTTAACGCCAAAATAAAACCATAATACTCGAAAAAACTGGTATTTTGGTATTTTCCACAAGAAAATTATTTAATTAATCAAAATGATTCATTCTTCTTAAATGTTCTGATTAATCTTAATTTAGACCGATTGACGATCTAATATGATGTTGGGACACCCTGTATCTTAAAATTGTAATTGCTTGAAAGTTCCCGACTTGACTCCACGTAAGTGCAAGCTAACCTGTAAGTCGGAAAGACATGAGAGATCTGACACATCCAAATATTTCTGTGCTCACCAGTGTGTGGACCTAAATATTTACAATTTACACAATCTAAAACTATAATTAGCAATATAAACCTAAGTGGTAAGAACTAACATAAACAAATTCTTTAAGTCTCTTACTATGTATATTCAGAGAAAGGGGAATGATATTTTGGGAAAACTCACTGGATTAGAACTGAAAGTTACAGTCCTTTGACTCTTTTTTTCTTCCGAGGAAGAGTGTGGCAACAATAACGATTTTCCAAAAAGTATACACTTCTTGATTTTCCTTAAAATGAAAGACTGATAAATCTACAATGATATCTCCTACCTTTCCAGTGTTTGGATCAGGTCTCATTAACTCCAAAGTCTTTCCCCGAGACACAACTATCTCCTAGATCATTATCATAATTTAAATTTACATTTGATTCAAGTTAGCAATTACAAATATTTCAAACTTAATGATGAATAACGAGCATTTATGAATATTTAATAACTAATTTCTAGAACAAATAACAATCCACTGAAGAGGTTTAAAAAAAAAAAACTGACGTTGCCAAAAAATACTGGACACTTGTATCAAAAATTAAGAATAGGTTATTTTCAACAAAAAAAAATATTTGTTTTAAATAATTTCAGGGTTAGGTTGGGCGAATTTTTGGGCCGAGCGCTGCTGCTAAGACAGGCTAGAGGGACGAGCGCTGCAGCCAGAACAAACCTTCAAATTCAACAATTTGAAGCAATGCAAAATTAGAACATTTTTCGAGTTAGGTAAGGTTCAGGCACTTACTGGGCCGAGCGACAGGAAAGAGGTTATCGGTGTTTCATATATTGATTGATTGATTGATAATCGTTTATTTCTATATACCTTATTACTGGTATCTTAAATCATTTGATAACTTAAACTTGAAACCCGACGAACAATCTAACAATTCATTATAGTTGCTAACCTGGAGCTTAGCACCAGAGAAGTTTCCATGAACGGAGTGGGTGATCCCCGTCGCCCTCTGCAGGGTCAGGTTGTAGAGATACATTCTCTAGTGCATTCAATAAATCTAAATAATAGCAGTTCAAATTTCAATCAAAATACTTTGACCGGCCAAATTTATTCAATTAAAGTCAAACAAACTACATTTTTAGAAAATAACCGTCAAAAATATTATTTAACGATTAATTCATCACTTAAATCCCGATTTCATTCCTTAAATACAACAAAATTTGATAAAACAATTGAATAATGCTGTTTATCAAACGTTTTCCCGCACGGCAGCGTTGTGCACGAATGCCGAGTAGGAATCACGAATCATGAATAAATAGTTTATTGATCGATTGCAGGATCGTCTTCATTTTACATTTTCCTTTTTTTTAAATAACAACGATTTTGTTGTATTTTTCATATTTGGAAAATTCAACTTTTTTAAAATGTGATTTCTGAATTATCAAAGTTTATTATAAAAGGTTTTAAATCTTAAATAATGACTGTTGTTGCCTGTTCTACGCAGCAAAAGTAACTTCATGACATTCTAAACACTACGCGGAGTTGTAAACCTTAATAATTTTCCGGAGCATTTGCGCTATTTCACTTTAGGAAATACTTTTGAGCTGTCGCCTGTCGTCCGACGAAAACTCATGTAAAACCTTATCTATTTTATATTTGGGGTTATATCGTCTTTGATACACATGTAATTTTTATATCGTCTTTGATACACATGTAATTTTTATATCGTCTTTGATACACATGTAGTTTTTATATCGTCTTTGATACATATGTAATTTTTATATCTTCGTAAAATACAAATCTTTTTATTATCTTTCAACTTCGGGGAACTTGTTTGTCAACAAGTTATCAACTTAAAATATTTATCATCGAAAAAAACATATCTTGGGATTTCTGTTGTCTTCTTAACCTTATCTCCGCTGGGGTACTTGAAAACCAGGATACGCTGGGGGGGGGGGGGGGTGTTTTGGCCCCCCCCCCCCCCCCCCCCCCCCCACTCTTGTCGATTTTGATATGATGATCTGAAATATTACTTGATCTTGCAGTCAAAGTTGGACATGTGGCCGAAACTCTCCGGCCCCTATCGTAATCCAGCCGCGGTGCTTAAGTGTATGAGTAAATAGTTAGAAAATTGGTATAATATAACGGAGCTATGTTGGTATATACATGACAGAACCACTTAAATTTCACGTCCACGATAACTGTTTTTAATTTCTTTAGGAAGAAAATGTAATATGACTAATAGGTTGTGAACCAGATGAACGAACAGTACAATGGAGGATCTTACAATCCTTCTGGTTCTCATTCTAATCTTCTGCATTATCATTTACTTCCTCCTCTCTACCGTCCAAGCATGGAAGCAAGGGAAGCAGTTGATGGGCGCCAAGCGTGTCATGTTGGTCATCGCGCATCCCGACGATGAAGTGATGTTTTTTGGTCCGACGATTCTCGGACTTTTAAAGGTATGACTTTTAAATTCTAAGTTTAAACCAGTTTAAACTTTTGTCCATTGAGACAAATCCATCATGCCCCCCTCCCCCCTCTAGCCACAAATCAATATTTTCTTCATAATAAAGATTATCTTTTTTGAAAGATCCTGAAAAATATACTTTTTCTTTTATTTGTAGAGCTGTGATATATTTATCTATATTTCTTCTATTTGTAGAGCTGTGATATATTTATCAATATTTCTTCTATTTGTAGAGCTGTGATATTTATCTCTTATATTTCTTCTATTTGTAGAGCTGTGATATATATCTGTTATATTTCTTCTATTTGTAAAGCTGTGATATTTATCTGTTATATTTCTTATATTTGTAGAGCTGTGATATTTATCTGTTATGTATGTCCAGTGGAGACTACAAGGGAGAGGGAACAAATCGGTAAATATTAAATGTAAGGGACTGTCCAGGCGCGGATACAGCGGGACCCCCCCCCTTTTTGAAAAAGGGGGGGTATCTTTTGATCTCCCCCCCCCCTTTTCTAGAGACTAACATAAAAGCTAACTGTAGATTTAAGTTTTAACCAACGTTTTTAGTAATTGAATATGATTCTTTCCTATTTTAAAAGTTAGGTTTATCATGATTTCAGCATTGAAACACTATAGTTTTGAGTAACATTACAGCGGCATCAAAAAGAAATTTTTTGACATTTTTCCGAAATTTTACAGAAACAAAATTGTATTCCATTTGGAATTCTTTTTGGCATGTTTTTAAAATGAAATGGTTACAAAAGTTAGAAACGTATCCCTGATGAAATGATTTGCAATGATAAAAAATTAAAAAAAAAAACTAATACAAATGAAAATTTAAATTTAAATACACGGGTATTTTTGAAACCGACTTAAAATCAAATTACAAAATATAAAAATATTGAAAATTAACCGATTTATAGCAACAAAAAAAAAACACATTTTTGAGTACTAAAATATATTCAGATAGAGAAATAACTTATTTTGACCATAGATTGCCCAATTTTTAACATTTTTGAACTCGCAAAATTTATTGATACCCATTTTTTGTAGCAATTGAGTTTTAAAATTATGTCATAAAAATTCAAGAAGAATACATTTTTGCCTCTGTAAAACGATTTCAGAAAAAATTCACAAAATTGCACACCCCTAAATAATAGTATTTGATGTCAAAGTTTTTATATCTAAAATGATATATCCTCCACCTTATTTACTTGCTGGCTAATATTTTTCTTGCCTGGATGCTTGAACGAAAAATTTGTAAGTACAGTTACAAGGTGGCAATAAATTTTACATATTTTAAGAGTAATTTGATAGTTTGAGCACTTAAAATATTTACTCTCAATGCTAATTCTTTAAAATAAATTGTGGGGGGCTCCGCTCGGTGCCCCCCCCCCCCGTCACAGTTTTATTGTGAGTTTGATCCCCCCCCCCTTTTCAAATAGCTGTATCCGCCCCTGGGACTGTCGTTTGAATTTCAAGTGATCCTCCATTATAAGAGAACAATCTCCGATTGAAAACGGTGCCCTTTATCTAATCAATAATGTGGAAGATAGTTAATGTACTTCTAGCTTAAAATTTCCTCAATTGTTTCTGTAGCAAGAAATCTTCAAATCACTTCTAGAGAAACAACAATTGAAAATAACCAATTTTCAGGAGAAATCATGGATATCTTTTTTATTTGTATCATGCAAATTTTTTAAGGGTATCGTTGAGAATTGGACATGTCAGTTTACAGATGAAGGTTCACTTTAAATTACATCTACATTCTACGGCCTCTTTAAGTATTAATAAATTGAAAAAAGGAATTAATTAAGTTATCAATCAATCGATTAATCAAGTATCATTCAATAGCAAACCCAATTATTTTTGATAAATTATAAAAAAGAAGAAAAATGATAATGTCAAGGATTTATAGACCCGTACCTCATGTTCTCAAATCATTAATTTTATATTCTTTCATGAACAAATAAAAAAGTACGGATGAACTGTTTTGTTGTTAAGTAAGGATGTGCTGTCTGAATGTTGTTAAGTAGGGATGAACTAAATGAATGCTGTTTAGTAAGGATGAACTCTATAAATGTTGTTTAGTAAGGATGATCTAAATGAATGCTGTTTAGTAAGGATGAACTGTATGAATTCTGTTTAGTAAGGATGAACTGTATAAATGTTGTTAAGTAAGGATGAACTGTATGAATTCTGTTGAGTAAAGATGAACTGTATTCATGCTGTTGAGTAAAGATGAACTGTATGAATGTTGTTTAGAAAGGATGAACTGTATGAATGTTGTGCTGAGATAGGAATACCAGAACAGAATATTCTTCTAATAAAACATTCAACACTCAGAGACGATCCAAATCTTAGGCATGGTGTTCAAAATGATTTTGAAATTTTTAAAAACACGTCAAGTACGTCCCGTCTAAAAAAACGTGTTTTTTGGGAGGGGGTAATTTCTCTCTGCATTATTTTTCAAAGATTTGAACGCCTGGATTAAGATGGCGGGAGGAGCTAGTAAGTGAGATAGTGCTGCGCCATGTGGCTGCCCTGAGTATAGATACGGTCATCACGTTTGACCGGTACGGAGTTTCCGGTCACAGGAATCATATAGCGCTCTACTACGCGATGGGATGCTTAGCTATGGAGGTAAAAATCTATTTTTCATTAAAGGACATCAACAATAAACTCTGTAATATCTAAGTGAAGATTTAAGTTTGGTAAGCAGTTGTTTCAAATTTAATTCATGATTCATAGTGTCCCTGAAAATATGAGAAAAAAATTAACAAATTTTAATATCGTCCTTGATGCACGTGTAATTTTTATATCGTCTTGGATACACATGTAACTTTCATATCGTCTTTGATACACATGTAGTTTTATATCGTCTTTGATACACATGTAATTTTCATATCGTCCTTGATACACGTGTAGTTTTTATATCGTCTTTGATACAAATGTAATTTTCATATCGTCTTTGATACACATGTAATTTTAATATCGTCTTTGATACACATGTAGTTTTTATATCGTCTTTGATACACATGTAATTTTTTTATCGTCTTTTATACATATGTAATTTTTATATCGTCTTTGATACACATGTAGTTTTTATATCGTCTTTGATACACATGTAATTTTCATATCGTCTTTGATACACATGTAGTTTTTATATCGTCTTTGATACACATGTAATTTTCATATCGTCTTTGATTCACATGTAGTTTTTATATCGTCTTTGATACACATGTAATTTTTATATAGTCTTTGATACACATGTAATTTTTATATCGTCTTTGATACACATGTAATTTT